GAGAATTGTTTTAACTGGTCATGGACAATGGCAAGAATATTTATATAGGTTTCATAAAAAAATGTAAACTAAGTGTGGATGTGATGAACTACATGCTGATTTAAAAAAATATTTATGAAAATGGGTTTTAACAGATTCTGTAAGGACAGAATATTTTTATTTCAAAAGAAAATGAATTCTACTTATTTACAAATGAAAAAAAGAATGTAATCATAAAAGTAATAAACTAAACAATTTTGAACATTTTGATGTAGCTTATTTTATAGGAGAAAAGATGTATATTGTATTTAATTGATTATATATAAAATTGTTATATTTCATGTAAATGCTATTTCTGTTCAAGTATTTAAGTGTCTTTGATAAGTTTGTTTTGTTTTCATGTATTTGTGACATATGATCTCCATTCGTTGAGATCTACTGAGGAATTATTATTGATTATAGATAAATTTGTTACTGAATTTCCCCCTTGTATAACTTATTCAGAATAAAGGTTGAGTTGACCTTGTTCACCTGAATAGGATGAGGTATGGGTGAATAGCCCAGTTTTACTTGTTTTATTTTTTCTTTTATTAGTTGGTACTGGTTTGTTAAGTATGGTGGTACGGTCTTTTGGTTTTTAGTTTAGGTTGCTATAGAAACAAATTATGTGTATTTTTGTTTACAACTGTTGCTTTACGGTAAATTTTAACTCGGGTGCAAAAGCAAACTTTTTTTTTAAAATATACTTTTTTATTAAATGGAAGAAAGCGGCTGATGTTCTCGTAGAGATATGTGAAATTTATGCTGGTGATTGCTTAACAGAATTAATGTCAGAAGTGGTTTAAAAAATTTCCTTCTGCAGATTTTTCACTGGAAGATAACCAGTGCTCTATGAGACATTCTGAAGTTGATGACAAAATTAAAGCCATACTTGAGTCAAATTATATAGTTGTGCTGGAGTTTGCAAAAATGTTAATGTAACAAGCACAACAATTGAAAATCACATAAGATGTCTTGTACTCATTAAGAAGCTTGATATTTGGGTTCAGTATGAATTGAAAGGTAAATTATTTAACACAATGAATCGATGTTTGCGATACATATTTCTAAACATAATGCATTTGACCCTTTTTTGAACAAATTACTTGTCATGGAAAATGGATTGTCTGCAATATTACTAATTGAAAAAGATGTGTGTCCAAGCAAGATGAATCGGCACTAATCGTATTGAAAGCTAAATTATATCAGGAAAAGTTCATGCTGTCAATTTGGTGGGATTGCAAGGCTGTTGTGTATTTTGAGCTGCTTCCAAGCAATCAAACAATCAGTTCAGATATTTACTGCTAACAACATATGAAACTGGAGGAAGCAATCGAGGAGAAAATCCATAATTGGGAAATTGCAAAGGAATCATGTTCCACCCCCCGACAGTGCGAGACATCGTACGTCTTTAGCAACACGTTTGAAATCACTTAAGCATGGTTGTGAGGTGATGTTGCATATCCCATATAGCCCCGACTTCGCAGCATAATTGGATTATCATTTATTTAGAAGTTTTCATTAAATAGTAAAAATGCAATTTGACATAATCAGTAATAATGATGTCAAATTGCACTTGGTTGAGTTTTTGGCTGATAAATACCAGAGGTTCTATGAGTACAATCATGGTTACCAGAAAGTTGGCAAAAGGTAATCAAACAGAATGGAAGATATTTGACTAAAATTCATTTTTGGTATAGAAAAAATAATGAGTTTTATTTCACTCTAAAAAATTGGAATTACTTTGTCAACCTGATATTTGTATACGAAAATCTTTTATTTAATTTTGCAAAGCTTGGCAATATGTGCAACATATCCAGGGTATTGGTAAGAAAGATAAGAAAAGTGGGGTTCCCCCCCAGCCACCCTAATGGACAATATTGAAATTGCTTAAATTTTTCATTATAAGCTAATCTATCCACAATTTTTTACGTTGCTGCAGCTTTTGAAATAGATTGCTGTAAACTGCTATGCCTTTAAAATATGCTACTGTTAACTGCCGCAACATCTACTGGTCATTCAGTTAAACTAAAACTAAATTTTGTGTATTCAATAGTATTGATCAAAATGTATTTGAACTTTATTTTATTTGTTTTTCATTGGATTTAAATATTAGGAAGTATTATTAATACTTTTGAAAACAGAAATCATTCCTGTTTTTATTTCTTGCAAGTTTCATGGATTTTTTTTTAATATATAAATAGTGTATGGTAATTTATTATGTTTATTATCTATGCTTCAAAATGATTCCTCATAAACATTTAATTATTTAGGAATTTGTCTGCCATTCAAGATAGAGAAATATGCTGTTATTCAATATCTTGTAAGGAAAAGGATAATATAGGTAAATTTGTATTTATTATTGTATTACATGAAGAAGTTTGAATTTTATGTCTAAAATATATGAGTAAAATTGTATGGTTTTCTTAATGCTTCCCCTTTTTTTTACATAGATATAACATTGCAGTGGCTTATTTCTCACTCTAAGTCTAGTGGTCATTGAACTGCAGTAATGAAAAGCCAGTATTTTTAACACTTCTCATAGTGAAAAAAAAAACAATGCATATTGTAAGCAGGACTTTGTATGCAAAAGGAACTTATGAACTGGTGTCAATATTGTGAGGAAATCCTGTTGGTACTTTTTATCGAAGTAGTGAAGTGAATGGTCATAGCTGATATGGGCTGATGATTTATGTTGCTGTGTGTTTCAGTATTTACAGTTCACTTGAAGGCCCACTGAAGCTCTGCAGCAAAGTATCAAGTTTATCATTGTAATTACTTTGCAAGTGTTTTTATTTAAGTGCATTGCTAAAATTTCTTTGCTTATATTTGTTTAATTGATGGCATACTTTGTTTCTGTGAATGGCATTGTTCAGAAAAATTGTAAATGGACCCACATATTTGCCTTAGGAGTGTATTTATGTTAAGAAGAAATATGTATCTGCTCTTTTTTGGGAGGGGTAATAGTGTAAAATTCTAACATTATTTTTGTGCATTTGTGGAAATATTTCTAAGCTGAGGAAGTTATTTAGTTAGCAGAAATAGGCAGAACATTTTTTAAATTGTATTTTAACCTAAGTTTTTATACCCAGTTTGCCCTCGATGATCTGTTATTTGTGGTTTCTTACCAGAAAATGCACATTTTGAATTTATATTGCTGAAATAAAACATGATGAATATAGCTTATAAAGAGTATCACTTTACCTGAAGTAATTTTTCACTCTTATCTGCTAAGATTCATTTCTTATTTGGCTATAACTAGCAGATAAAATAAATAAATATTTTATTTTACGGAATATAATGTGTGTTAAAAACTGAAAATCATGCATGTATGTAGTTGTAAAAATAAGTTTTTCTGTTCTCATTATCATGCTAAGCCATACATCTGAAGATGAGTATGTTCTTTTAATTGTTTCTTGTGAATATAAGTTTATTGTAAAATATTTCGCTTATATAATCATAAAAGAAATTATTTGGGGAATTTATAGAAAATTTGTACAAACTGAGCATTTATAAATATTTTCTTCACATTATGCAGATCTTAAGTGTAAGCAGTTATGAAAAATTTCAAATTTGAATGAAAAAAATTTAAACTGTTTTATTGAATGTTTCATAAGTCTTATTAAACTATATTGAAAATATCAACCGTCATTTATTTTATTAATCTGTTTGACAAGATAAAACACTAAATGTTTCTTCCTTGTTGTAGCATTTAGGGTTGCAGCAGAGATTGAATGTTAGTCATTTCATTTGTGAGCTTTTAAAAGGCGTAAAAATTTTTAGTTATACATTATGTTAAATAAGATACTGAAATATAAATTAGAAAATGGACTGCAATTAGCAGTGAGAATTGGGGGGTACTGTGTGTAAAACTTGAGTTGGAGAATGGTATACTGCATGTTTTAGAAATATGTCAGCTCTCATTGTTGCCATATTTTTACCATTAAAAATACGATTTGAATTTTTAATTCCTTGGATTTTCTTTTATTTATTTATCATAGTTACTGTTTTCTTGATACAGTTAGTGTTTTTTCCAACAATACCTTGATGCTTTAATATCGTAATATTTCTTTTTCCGTTACTCATGCTCAGTTAATTTATTGTGCTCAGATTTTTGAAGGAGGGGAGTTGTAATGCAATATCAGCTTTTTTCTTACTTTTTCTGTTATAAAAAATTTAAAAGTATAGAGATACATAATTTCAGTTTGTTAAAATTCATATTTGTGAATAAGACTTCTTTTCATTTTAAAAGAGACGTTCATTGCAAGTAAACTTGCAGTAAATTAGCTACAAACATTTTAGCCAGATACTAATAGCTGAGCAAGAGTTCTTTCTTTGGAAGCTACAAAGTGATTTCCAACACATTCCTTTTCAAACTCTGTATAGTTAGACATGAGACATGAAAAGAATATTTTTCTTTTACATTCCAATTCACATTCCACTTTTCATGTTATAGAAAAATATTTCAGAACTTGACGCATATTTTGTGATAAAGGCATTTTTGTGTTTGTATTGTAACATTATTTAGCTTCATTTCGTCATGTTCAGTAGCTTGAAAACTATATACAAAGACTAAATATTGCAGTTATTTTTCTTCTTGCCTCTGTAAAGGTATTAGGAAGTTCATATCTAGTCTCTAAAGAGTTGAAACAAAATCAAGAAGAGTAAATTATGGTAAATGCTGAATTTCAAGCCTTTTTTTAAAATGGAACTCAAATGAAAAGTCTAAGTACATTCAGACAGATGGCAATCACCTGTCTTTAGCAGCAGATTACTGAAAGGAATGAAGCATTGCATCTTTTTCACTAACCTGAAAGGTTCAGTTTTACCAGTTAATAAATTTAGCATATACTATTTTTCATAAGTATCGGGTGAAGGAATTCAAGGATTTTAATGTAACAAATATAATCAATTCATATAAAAAAGTTGCTGAATTGCTGGTAATATTAGTGTCTCTATAAAGCACAGTAATATTTTTTTTACTTGAAATATGTATTAACATATGTTCAAACAATTCTGAATAAGAGAAATAGGGAAAATAAGATTATGAAAGCATTTTTTGAAATAAATTTAATTTTAGAATTTAAGAGATTTACCCTTTTTATTTTTGTATCTCATGCAACTTCTGCTGAAATTATAATGATAATAGAAATTAATGCTGTCAGTTAATAAAAAAGAGAAGTGTAAAGAGAGATAATAGGTGATATAAGAGAAATAAAAGGTGTTACTAATATTTCTATGCGTTATTCTTTATTTTACATAATTACATTGTTTTTATTTAAAATGCCTTTTATTCATTTCCTATTTGAAAGTTTGTGTAGCTTTTAAACAAAATGAGCGTTTTTATTTATTCTTAGTAACATTAAATTTTAAATGTCAGACTGTCATTTATCCATGCATACAGTAAAAGACATTCTTAAGTTTTCTGTTATTGAATGAATATGTCCATTTAAAAACCCACTCGTTTAAAATGTCATCTAGTCCATCTAAAATACCCCTCAAATCTTGAATGCTTATTAGGAACAGCAGAATTTAATGTGAGAAATATAGTTGATATCAAGTTGTCCAGAAACTGCATCATTTTTTTTTTTTTTTTTTTTGCATTTGCATAAACAATATGCTTTTTTGCTTAGTTTCTTGCACTTGTGCATAAATGTTGTTTTGTGATGCCCTGGAAGTTCGTGCTCCCTTAACTTGGTTGTTTTGATTACAAAAATTCAAATTGCAATATTTGCGGGTAATTTTAAGTCTGTCATTTGTGTCTGAAATTTCTAATCAATTATCCTTCTTGCTTTAATCATATGTAATCTCTTTGAAAGGTAGATATCACCTAAATTAAGTCTTAATAAAACATGTAATGTAGTTTTTTTAAAAAGAAATTTAAGGGGAAATAGCACCTTGTATCTTGCTTCTTTAATAATAATAATAATAAAAAACTGATGTAACTTTAATAAAATTTATTCTATATTTTCCTTGGTGAATTAAAATTATTTTAAGAATTACTGATTTGCATTCTTTGTTGTATAAATTAAGACATTTAATCAGCAATTTTAGCATTCAGAAGTAATTTTCAAGTAGAATAAGAATGAATAACTCCATGTATATTGAGTTATTGAGAATTATCAGAACTGAGATGTGTTTGAGTTGTTTTAAGTTATAAAATTATTGGACTTAAACTTCCTTTTCATACCATCTTCCTCTTATTTCTTATATGCATAAATTGATAATCGGCATTTGAATGAAAAAGTATGCTTAAAATAACAGGAAAGTATTTTCATCAGAACGTCATAAATCAAAAACTAAGATTTCAAACTTGGTAATTGACTGAATAATATTAATTCCGATCTCGATTGCTTTAATCTGGTACAAACAGAATTGTTATAGATGCCTAATATTTGATTGCTGTGAATCTTGTACGTAACAATTCCAATATTTTGTATCTTTTCATATGAATTCAGGAGGAAAAGACATAAATTCAGGATCAAAATACATATTTTATAACTAATTGCTGCAAAAATGTAAAAAAATATTTTCAATTATTCATGCTTCTCCACTTTAAAATGGCCATCATGTATATTGTACATTTATATTATATCTAAAGTCTGTACTGACTGATTGCTGTAAACACTTTTCTAAAAACAAAAGTATGAATGTGCTTGATCTGCATAGTTGCTCAGTCTCATTTTTCTAGCATCTTAGTCCTTTGCTTTTTTTAATCTCCATGTTCTCATCCATTTGTATTACTTTCTTGCTATTTATAGAACTGTTTTCCATTGCACTTCATATCTTTGCTTTCAACTTTAGCACTGTCTGCATATGATTTTAGACCTGAAAATTTTCTTTGTTTGAAAATGCTTTTGTCCTTTATATCCTTTCTAATCTTGGCAGTTTCATATTCTGCAGATATATATGAGAATTATTCTAAGATGTCGCAAACCAGCAGTTTGTTATCAAGCATCAAATGTGCTGAAAGGTCTGCTGGTTCATCCTTTCAATAACTTGAAATGGGTTCGATATAGTTCAGATGGAAAATTTCTGTATTGTTTTTGCATTTGCTTATCTATATATTAAAATGCATTTTGAAGATAATAAGCTTTTAAGAATTTTACTCATTTTCAGTAAAACGTGATGCAGAATTGAAGAGACGTGCTGTCATTCATCTGCAGTTGAAAGTTAAAGCCATAAAAAAGCTGGTATTCTTCAGTTCTTAAAATCTACAAATCTACTCTTCAATATATTTAGTTGTAGTAGGTCTTCAATATATTTAGTTGTACTAAACAGAGTAGTAGATTAAAAAAAAAAAAAAAACTTGCATGTTTTCTTACTACTGCTGTTCTTGTTAAATCAAAAATGATTATTTAGGTAATAGTCTCTGAAACAAATGTATTCTTTTATGGTGGTTAAGTTGGTTTTTCATATACACACTTTTTTCTGGGGTAACTTACAAAGGAAACCCATAAGAAAATGTCTTCCATGTCAAAAATAATATTGTTAATGTTTTCTTGGATATTCAGCTGCATTATTTAAAGTTCTATTTAAAGGCATCTTTCTTTGTGCTTAGGCTGTGCAATATGCTTTCATTGGCCTTACATATATTCTGATGTTGTCATAAGGTGCAATTTAAATTCACTAGCAGTGGCTTAAACATTAATAAGGAAGTCTATTGTGTAATCTCCAACTTCAGTTGTGGGAATGTGTATGTTAATTTATAAAATCTAAAAATCAGAAGAATGCATTACTTGTGCACAAATACTAGTTTTTTTTTAAATGTCTTATTGCCTGCTATTTAAAGAAAAGCAACTTTGAATATTAAAACAGGAAATTTTGTGAAATATTTTATTGATTAGTTTATTAGCATAAAATTATTGCATCAGGAAACTTTGCATCTCATGAAGCATTAAAGAAAAAGGGAAAGCTTATTCATTTCAAGCCTTTATAAAAAAATATACATTTCATGTGTGGATGAGTTCCTAATATTGTGAATGGTACTTTCTTTTTGTATACTATTATCTAAGGAATGAAAAAAGTTTGTCTCATTTTACTTCAAGCATTTTATTTAAATTTATTTTTGAGGAAAATTTCTACTTTTCCTACCAAATTTTGATCGACGAAAATTAGCATGGGAAGATGTTCGTTATAATACCGTAATAATATAGTCCGTTCGTTACCATGATTATGTAAAACATATATAATTTGCATTTTTAAATTTCTCATTGAATATCATTATAAAACTTGCATTCATTGCCAATATTTAGATAAACCACTTTCCCTTGTAAATAGTAACTTTTACTTTTCCTGGTTATATTTTGGTAAGTATGATATGTTATGTCTTTAAGGTGTAAAGGCATCCATAAAATAAATGTTAACTCTAAAAGAGTGATCGAAAAGTTTTCGATTTGAGAGCCAACTTTGGAATGGTAATTAAAAGGTCAGCAGTGATCAAATATTTGTCTTACTGTTAAGAAGCAAGTACTTTGAAAAATCATGTTGTTTTACTTTTAAAAATGCAGTTAATGTTCTTTAGAGTGAAAATTAAGTGAAATACAGCTGATACTTTCTTAGTTTTATGTGCATTTTTAGTTTGAAATGCAAAAAAACTATGAAATCATGTTTCTGTACATATTAATCAGTGCTGATGTGTAGGAGCATTAAGTCAAAAGAAAAATTTCATTTTCAAATAATCCTGTACCATCTAAGATAATTAAAAACTGATAAGTATTAATATTTGGATGAATAAAAGTTTGTACTTTAGAGCTTTGCATACAGAACCATCCACAGACTTGGTATTTGTAAAGGAAATAACTGATTTATTATTTAATTTGTGATGCCAATATTTCAAATCTTGAAAGAAGCATACTTTTATAAGTTCCATTATGTCAAAAATTGATTGCCATTTTCTGTTCATAATGCATATTTCATCATTATTTATTGTTTTTCATGTTATCACATACTTTATCATGTTTTTTTTCCATAGTAATCTACTGCATAATTGATATCTAGTGCTATCGTAACATTGTGGAATGTTGTATAACATAAGCAATATTTTGTATAAATTTTTTTTATTGCATTCATTTGAATTATTGGAAGCAGTAGTGCAATATTATATAAAAGGAGATTTAGGGCATTCATAGGAAGTGTGCCGTGCTGTCTTATGACTTCATTGAAGAGGAAAAAAATTTATGTAAATGCAGAAATGTTTTGATAGCATTTCCTGTTGTATTTTTTCAGCAAAAAATTAGTTTAATGCAAAGTGAAAATGGAATATAATTTATTCCTAAACAAATTAAAAAATTTTTGTTTCTTATTTTGTTGTAAAATGATTAATTATAACATACATACAGAAAATCTGTGTATTTACATAAAATAGCTAACAAGCCATATGAATAGGATTTGAATGCTGTAGTATATGAGAATTGCTTGTGAAATCTGTGATACTTTGTTTATGAGCTCTTTTATGATTTTCTACAGATTGGGAATTTCAAAAATATAACATTTTAATCAGTTTACTGAACAGAAAAGGTGTATTATTAGAAGTATAATATTATGAAACATTATTGTAATTTATGGTTCACAAAGAACTATTTCTAAACCATGTAATGAGACATTTTATTAATAAATTTCAATGAAAAATCGTTCTAGTTTTCTAAATTATACGAGGCAAAGGAATAAAAAATACTCTACAAAAGATTTAGTTTTTTCTATTAAAATATGCTTTTAGTTAAAAGTTTTTATGTGTAAAATTTTTAGGTATTTTGTGAGGCACAGAATATTGAAATATTTATTTGAAAAGATAATGTGTTTATAAGACAAAAATTTAACCTGATTTTCGGTTTTATGATTTATTTCTATAACTTTTCTCCCTTCCACCTTTTATCTCTAGTTTTAAATTTTTCAAATTCATTCTAAGTAATAAGATTTTTTGATGAAGTTTCATTAAAGGTATATATGTTTAGCTTTTTGTTGTAGCATTCCTCTTTGGTCTACATTTCATTTAATTAAAAAGAACCAAAAGTTTTAAGTATAATTGAGCGAGAGTAGTAGCTTAGAATGTTTATTATTACATTTTTAAATTGCTTAAAATTTTTCACAAGTTAAAGCATGAAAAATGTAAGAAATAGAATGTTGTTCTAAAGTATGTTTTGTGGATTGTATGCATAGTGTGTTTATGTATGTTGACCCCACCTCTGAACCAGAAATGAGATTTCTTTTCCAAGGAATTTAAATAACATGTGCAACATTTCAAGTACAAGTTTCATTGTACAGATGTCATTTCTGTAACTGGATCTTAATTTTCTTCATTAAATTCATACTTTTCACTGCTTTTCATGTGAGCAGCTGTCAGTGTAGGTATTTTTATGTGCTAAGTCATTTTTAATGAAGATATAAAGTGATATGAAAAAGGGGAAATTTTTTTTCTTAATTTTTCCCCCGTATAAAGTATCTTTGGGTGCTGTCTTTTGCCATGATAATAAATTGTATGTTATACTACTGCTCACTCATGAAAGAGTAGTTGCAGTTTTGTAAACATTGTTCTAAAATGAATAAAATTGGAATGCAAGAAATTTTGTTTTATTTAAAAGCATTAAATTCATACTTATAATTTTTTCTGTTAGGTTTCTGTGCAGACATACGTATATATAAAAATGTGTGCTTCTTATTTCATTACCATCGAAGAACGTTTTAATATATATGAAAGATAAAACATTGCATTTTTTACAGCATCATAGAAATTTTATTGAAGTACTTGGCAAGGCATAAAAAGATTAGAACCTTTACTGAATTTAAACCATGTAACTTATGGAGCATCTCCATTTGTTCTGTGAATTCTGGTCTCTACAGAAATTGGAAAATTGTGTAGAACATTATCTACAGATATATTTTCTTGGAAAGAAATCTGGTTTCTCTTCCTTCGTTTTCTAAGTTTATGTCTCAGATTTCCAATGTGTTTTGTATCTTTCATTTTGCATATAAAGTCAGTTTCATTTTCAGAAGTACTGTCAGAAACATTTTTATTTTTAAACCCTACACCTTCCCTTTTTTTCCAGTTTCGAACTTTGGTGATTTTTCTGCCTGATATTTGTGTATGAACATTTACAGATATACCATGACCTTTTATTAATTGTAAAGGTGTACTTTGATAAATATCTGTACTTAAAATTTGATTTGCTTGTGGGTATTGCAGAGATTTTGCGACTGGTAAAGTATGTGGAACCATCGAGATATCTTTCTCAGGATTGTGCATGCTGAACAAATCTTCACTCATAAGCTTAGCATTAGGCATAATTGTTTCATATGTTTTATCTTGTCCGTGCCCTAGATCACCTTCAAATGCAGCATTTATGAGACCTGTATCTTTGACACATTCAGTATATTGAGGAATTGCAAGCAATTCACTGTTATTAGTATTTTTTACGCAAATTTCACCTTGTCCGCTTAGTTTTTCTATGTCAATACCAGAAGCAGAAGTTACTTGCGACAAAAGATCATTGAAACCTGCATTTGGTGTAGTAGTAGAGTCTGTTTTCATACTAGGTATAGTATTGCTTCGAGGAAGAAGTGGTTGAGGTGTTGGATTCCATTCTTGTACCACTTTACCCATTCGCAAACGAGCTGTTGGTTGTTTTGAACGAAATAAATTGTATCTTCGTCTTACCTCAGCAGCACTGCCGCCTGCTTTTCGCAGTTCTTGTACTGTTCGTTTTCCAACACGCTAAGAAAAGACATCAATAAATCATTCATTAAAACTTTAATTGTTTATTATTCAGTTATTTTTTAATTTAAATTTTAAAACTTTTACTATTAAGATTTTGCTCAAATGTTCATGACTTTTGCATTGATTCTTAAATAGTTAGATAGTATAAATGCATATAGTTCAGAAGCCACGTTAAATACATCCATATTAACATTTATATGTTCCTTTCTTGCCCGAACTAAAATATGTGATAACATGTCTTGCACATGCTTTTTCTATATTCGGTCTTAAACGTAGTGTTGTAACAAAGCAGTTACCTAACATTACTAATTTTGAGGTAGCTGTTCATGATGAAGATATTTTATATAATTCTGCGTATTTTGAAATAACGATTAGAGATCCCTTCCTCTACTAAAAAGGAATCATTGAGCTATCATATCACTTTACCAACAGTTGTAATGTAGATATTCTCCTGACATACTCATTCATCTATATCTTGATGTGGATATATATGCAAATGAAACACTTGAGATTTACTGGATTCAATTTCTAATCGTCGTGCCAATAAGTTTTTTCTGTGTTTGTTGTTAGCTTTAACGCAGGTTTTTGACAATTTCGGTGGAATTGCTTTAAAAAGTCGTATAGATATTTCCAAGAATCGCAAACTCTAGATGTTAGTACAGAGGCAAGGCTGAAGTAATTTAAAAAGCAAGTGAATACACTGCAGGATTTCCTGAAACTTCCGAAGAAGTATACAGTAGCTCCTTAGGGAAGTTACTGTTTGCATGAAAAACAACTAGCCAACCAAAGTTCCAAGTTTCTGTGAAAATTTTGAAAACAGAAGTTATTACCACTACTAACCCAAAGGATAGATGGGCATCACCATCCAAAACAAGGAAATGACTAACTGTTTTCAAAAAATACAATGAATTTTCTCACTCTTCATTGTTAGTAGGGTGATAATATTTTTGGTTATTGAAATGCAGAAGGAATACCACAACTTGTGAAGTAGTTGGGATAGGAGATTTATAAGACTTTTCTGAAGAAAAGATTGACATTGAAGATTTTATTAGAACTCTTCGTAGTGATTCGAGATTCTATTGATGATTGCTGCAACACGCATCTCATTATGTTCCTGACAAAGATTGAAATCAAATTCAGTATCATTTCAATACAAAGCAGGTAGTTCCAGTTAAAGGCTATACTTGATGAAACCTCTAAACTGAAGATCTATATTTCTAAAGTTATACAATTCTTAAGATTAAGGAACTGTGTATGTGGGAAACTTTCCCATGCCTTATGACCACTTGTAACTGCCAAGGAATTGAGTGCTGAACTTCAAGAGCCTAAACTAAAAGCAGAGTAGAATAAGAAGGTAATGCCAGATAAGGTTGAGCTTTTCACACGCTAGAGCAGAAAAGTTTACAGAATTCATTTCTCATTTTTCAAAAGAATCATATTTTGGACTTAAGTTAAAATGCAAAATGTCTACGTATATAAAGATTCTGAGCTCAGAAATTTCTTCTCTAGACTTTGAGCTGTGTAAAAATTTGATTTGCAATAAAAAAATACTCTGCATTGATTCAGAGTACGCTGCTGGCCATTAAAATTGCAACACCATGAAGGAAAGCGAATACAAAAAAGATATTTATTGCACTTAAACAGTATGGCATGAAGACAAAATGATTAAATTTGTAAGCAATTTGAACGTTTACAGGGGTGCAAGAATAGTAGAAACAGCTGCCAATCGAATTTCGAAACTTGCTGGTAAGCATTTCCTCTTATTCGAGGCATAACACGATATTCTAAACAAACTCCAACCTTTCACTTTCCGAACGAGAAATCAGCTACTCAACTTTTCCTTCATGCAGTGCGTCCTGCGTCGTCTAAATGCGCTGAAATACTAATCATTTGCATATCCCAACTTCTACCTTTCATGCGATTTTGATGTTCGTCAGATCATTCCTTCCTGGTGTGGCAGTTTTAATAGCCAGCAGTAGATGAAATTTTAGAAAAAATGATTTTGGGAGTCAGAAATTTAATATTCTGGTCCTCGTTGAATGATGAAATTACTTCCTGTATTTTTATGTATGATATATTGGTTTCTGTCACATGATAAGCTCTTGACCATGTCAAAGGTGAACAGCAGGAAATTATTCCTGATATTGTAGACAAAACTAGAGTGACAAAGAAGTGTTTGCTGAAATCATGTACTTGGAAATAATCTCAGATGATGCAGAAAAGACTACATCATTTACTTCTACAGAAATAACGTTTAATATTCGAAGATGAATTACGACAAGTAGAAGGATATTCGCTCCAAATGGAAAATAGCTAGCGGTTGAAAGTTCTGTCCAAGAAATAGGCAAATTCGGAGCAAGCCAAAGAGACGCTAAATGAGAATAACAAATTTTATAGACTATTGTTAGGATTTAAGTTAAAGCAGCTGTATACTTAATCGTTGGAATCTCAGAGGTTCATTTAAAAATTTCGTCGAAAAATTTTCAAGCGACGCTATAGCGCTTGTTTTAACTAAAATTCTGTATGTTTTTAAATTAAAAAATATTTTTATTTCATGCGCTTTCTTTAGTTAAAGCTAATGGTAGCTAGAAAAATGTATTACTCATAGGGATTTCAAGGGGAGTAGCAGTAAGGTGTTGAGCTTCTATATTTTGGCAGCCTAAAAACATCAATTGCACATCCAATGAAAGGACAAATATGGACAGCGCAATCGCACTTATGGTCAAGCGGTCAGCAAACAGAACTCATTACCCGCGTCTCAGTTATAAGAAGGATAATCTCGAAGATTTAGTTATAAAGACTAAAACATTTTCAGTTTTTGATGCGTTAAATATATTTTTATACCGTCATGTAGAAAAAAAGACCATCTTTAGAGAAGACTAAATTTGTCCCTGGACTGTTCGTCATTTGAATTATGCCCAGTAACTATTATTGATTATGGTTGCAGCTTTCAGGAAGGATGCCTTGTTAATCTTAAAATGCAGTGGTCTCGGCAGTAGATCCAGTGAATTTTCATTAATATATTGACGGGGAAAAAATGAAGGAGCTATTATAAAAAGTTTCTTCATGTTAATTTTATTAAGTGAAATCCAATGAAAGGTAGTTCGTTGGCAAATCAAGGTCATCGATGTCTGGGATTGCCTTCGCTCCACAGAGGTATGTAAATCCTTTAGTTCCGTCTTTTGTCACGATTGGAAAGGAGTGCTTCAAATTTTACTTTTTAGGACCGCAAGAGTAGGAAAATAAAATTTTCACATGTAGAATTTGGAACATGTCTTTGAGGAGTGGTGAGAAATGCCATGCGATTGGCAGAACACTGTGATTTGTAGAGATCTAAAAGTAGCGAAATCATGTCACGAATATGAAAACTGTTTAAACACATTGGTTATGTATGCAGATACCATGGTCAAGAAGATGTGCCACAACAGACTCTGAGAAACGTTTTTGGAAACCATTACGAAAAGAATTCAAATGTATTGCAATCTGGAGAAGCAAAATCCACGCAATAAACCTGAAGACATAAGTCAAAAATTTTTGGTAGAGAAGTAGTAGAATTATGGTACGAGTATGACCGTGCTTCATTTTGAATGGCCGCACTGACTTACACATTTCTTAATCTAAGCAACTATAAATGTTGAAATATACAAAGAAGAGGCTCTTATCTTTATATCAAGTTCTTTAGGCTCTTGTCTTTATATCAAGGGCTGCATTCGGTGCTAAATTCCTCGAAGTAGACAATAATGCTTGTCCTCTTTGCACTGCACTAGTAACCGATTATCTTGAGGGCGAAGAAATCCAGCGCATGGGAGGGATCCCATAATCTTGGGATTTAAATACGATACAGCAAATAGGAGACACACTAGGACGCAAATTAACATCGCCGTACCCCATATGTAGTACTTACTCTACAGGAACTTCAGAGCTCTGTTTATTATGAATACTCTTTATTGCTGCAGGAATTCCTGGGCAATTTAATACACATCAAAATCGCTGCAAAGCTTGCATTTCACTAGGGGTGAACACACCTTATTAATTTTTTCCGTATATCTTAAAAAATTTTCTAAAAACAATTTTTCTTTACATATCATAGTTCCTATGCTCTTATCACATACTGGACCGCTGTCCTAAATATAGAATGGCCCAATTAAATCTAGACACTCCGGATTAGGCAAGAGGAGACAGATGCTAACTACCAAAGTGGGCAAAAGCCAATGGGCTAAAACAAGGCAGAGCACGTAAGCTGAGCAAAGGGGCCTCAAAGAGAAGCCAAACGGCTAAAAGAGGAGGGGGATGCCTTTCGGCTGAAAAGAGAAGAAGCAAAGTGCTAAAAACTGGTCTAAGAGAAGGGAAAAGCCGTCACGCCTAAAAAAAGGAGGGGAACAGGCGAAATGAAGCAAAGCTTATCCACTAAAAAGGGCTGAGAGGGAAGGCTAAACGGGAAAGAGAAAGATTTGTAAACAAACCAAAAAGGGGGGGGGAGTCATGACGGCTAAAACAGGAAGAGAAGGGACGACCAGTGAGGCTATAATGCTAGTGTAATTTTAAAAAAATCTCTTTACATGAATGAATTAATTAAAGCGGAGTAAAATTCAAATAAACAGTTATACAAACAAAATAATAATCATAACAAATAACAAAATAATAGAAAAATTCAAATAAACAGATAATACAATTTGCTACAGGTGTAAGTAAACACTGTAGTGACTAAATAATTGAAGTGAATGGAAGGAAAAATAACAGAATAACAAACATTGTAGGATTAACGATAAACAATAAAGTCTGAGTCGTTTACATGTATAAGTTGCATAATTGACTTCATGGCATTAAGAGTAGAATTACATTTATCCAATGTTCCCAGTGTTCTATTACCATAAGCTATATAGTCGAGGCAGTACTTAGGAACAACATCAGACAGCCCGGTTTGCTGCAAAATACAAAAAAGCTTCTCCGTCTACACCGCAAACACGTATTTGATAGAGACTATGCCAGTTAAAAAC